TATGCGCTATAAAAAGGAACACAGAACACTAATACTGATGCTCTATCCCGAATTGAAATTAACGTAATCGAAAATGTATAAATGCATAATTCTTGAAAAATGCGGATGCAAAAATTTTGATGCTGAAATAGAGCAATATATTCAACACGAATGAACTAGAAACCTGACATTAGAAGAATCGAAGGAAATAGAAGAAATTATAAACTCAACAGAACTTGATCAAAAGATCAAAATACTATCTGATATCCAGTTGAAACCACCAATAAAACGGGATGGTGAAACGATACATTCCGCATCTGAAGACCCAATTTTAAACGTTTCAATAAAGGAAATTGCCTGAACACTTATACAAATCAAATAATTTTTCATTACAAAGAAGATGGCCATTACCATGTAATTCGCGGAAATACATTTAAAATCAAATTTTGATATATTTAGTTAGAAAGAAATTTCAAAAATTAAATAATATCGTTCTTTAAAAGTTACATTGAGCATAAAAAACTTTACTGTCTTGATACCAAAGACTGTAAAATTGATCTGCCCATTCAATTAAGTTTTCTTTTACCTGAAACTTTCAGACAAAACACATATAAACTAGTTATTTAAAAAATATTCTTTAGCGGTATTTTTGAGGAAAATAGGCAAAGAGAATCAATAAACCTGCCATCGAGAAATAAATGAAGGGCAAATATGAAAACGGATTTAACACAATATATGAACAGTTGCAAAATTTAAAAAAAACCGGTACTTCTACTTCAAAGCCAGGAGAGACTTTAAGAGGGAACTGCCAAGATCCAAACGAGGAAGTTGGCAAAAATTCTGCGGCGGGGTGGAGCCGCTGCCGGATTCAGCCAGGCTCGCAAATATCCTAAGCGCGGACAAAACGCAAAAGGATATAGGAACCCTTAAGAAGGAAGATGTCACTTGGACGGAAACTAAAAAGGAGACCCTACAACTTCTAGCGAAACACTTCCCAGGCTGTTGCATACATATAACAATAGGTAACAATGCATCGCATATGTTATATTTAATATACAAATATAACTAAAAAAATTAAAGCTTTATTGATTTAACCTTTTTATAATAATGGAACAAGAATTACGACTGATTACTCTTAAGTCTATTAAAATTCTGAACGTTTGTTACTGGACCTGTCTACTTTTTTATACAATTAAAATGACTGGTCAGCAACTCTTCGAGTCGTGTGCAAAAGTACTCTTGCAATGTACTATTCCTGTTACATTGTATTTTAAATGGGACAGCTCCTTGTTGGTTAGAAATACTGGCTGACGAATATCCCGGCTGGGTCAATGGGTCAGGATTATGGGATAACGGCGGAATTATGCTTGGCTGAGCTTGCAGATACAATGGCTCTTTGTTACATACATTGTTGTGGGCACTTGGTCACATAGTAGCTGAACGTAACACTTCCGTTCATGGGGGGTTTGGAAAGGAAGACTAACAATGAACTGCTTACTTTGTATTTTCTCGACACTCTACAGCCCACACATACTTCATATCGCAATCGGTACAAAACCTATGCTTAAATTATGGTTGCAGGTGGTACGAACCCTATGCAACAAGGAATTTCTTTCCTTATATGATATTATAATATTTATATTAGGCGGTTAACCACCTTATTTATTATTATATTTTTTGTTTCTTTAGAAACGGATACAGTACTAGTATTAAATGCGACAGACATTTTTATTTCTGTTGCCAAGTGTAGTATTTGGGCCATAATGGCAAAAATATGTCGGATTATGTTTCCAACAGTAGCATATTTAGAAGTGTCCTTGTAGACTTGATATAACACACATATGTACCGGCAGAGTCTCAAGTGGATGTCGTAATAATAAAACGAAATAAAAGTGAGGGATAATTTGCAAGTAGATAGAAACAAAAGTTTTACATTCATCTTTATCGTGAACGTACCATCAAACGGGTTGTTTGTTGGGAGTTCCCATTTGTGGCGACCGTGACAGGACTTGAGTAAAGAACCGCAATTGTAAGTGAACAATGAGTATCAAGATTAAACAAAAGTGGCGAAAAGTTCTTTGAACATCGTTCACCAAGTGTGCCACTGAATTGGAAACCCTGTTGGCTGAATTACCGCTAGATTTCGAAAAAATAAAGTATATCGCAAGATGCTGGAAGAAAAAAGTTGTGAACTGAAAGCCGTTGATGAGGGCATTAGCGAGTAACTTCTGACATATGAAGTTACGTGACGCTTAAACCTCGAAACTGCCCGGACTATCATAATTTAAGCTAACTTGCATTTATAACTTATATATACTTGCTAAACGCATAATTGTAT